ATATATCGCCTTGCTTACAGTATCGCAATATATCGGGATATATCGTATCGTGACCCCTCTGTTATGATATGTATCGTATCGCCAAATTCTTGTCAATACACAGCCCCAATTGTTACAGGATTGAATTCTTAATAAAATGTTTTTAATCTGTTTTCTTATTTTTTTACCATTTCTGCCTGTGGTTGTTAAGCTTTTCAGTGGAGGGGATCCTGTGGATTTTATAGCACAGCATTAAAGTTTCACTCATCAGAGCAACACTACTGTGATTCACTCGGGTTGCTGTCAACAAATGCTGATCTTAATTCATGATGCTATTAGGGCCAGAAAATATTTATACACTGAAATATTGCAATATATTGCATTTTTGATACTGTATTCATTCTCTAAAGCTGAGGTTCTCAAACTAGGATCTCAGGACCCCCAGGAGTCTGCGAGAGTTTTCTTGGGAGTCCTCAAAAAATTTCACTAAATTGTTATTTTGGTTTTTATTTTTACAAATGCATGGAGAACAATGAACTAATAAAACAAATATAACAAAGTAAATAAAAATATATATTCCCATGGCATTTAGGGGTTGAAATGACAGCATGGGGTTTATGAGGGGGTCCCTGGAATTTTTTCGCCCTTGTAAGGAGTCCCCAGACCCAAAACATTTGAGAACCCCTGCTCTAAAGCACTATATCGATATTTAATTAAAGCTTAAAATGTAAACTTTCATGTCAGCAAATTATTTTTGTGTTGTAGTTTAGCTTCTGGCTGCTAGTTGGCAGCAGTCAGCCAGCCATTTGGGAGAGTATAACATTAGCTCAAACGTTAGCATCGTGATTAAACATTAGCACTAAGTGCCATGGCTGAATCTGAGCAGATTAGATCGACGCCCACTGCCTTTGAAGCTGAGGTAGAGTGGCCAAATGTCCCACATTAGCTGGAATGTTGATATTTTAAGCCAAATTGAAGTATCCCATTTGGTACACGCCTTCTTTTGACTGCAGTCTGCAGTTAGCCGTCATGATACGACAGGCAGTAGGCATTTTCCAGCACCCTGAGCTGAAGGGAGTCGTAGAGGAACGATACTGAAGTGGCCAAATGCAACGACCATATGAAATATTGAGTGCAATGAAATGACTCTTTACTCGTGCACTTAAGGTGCTCCATGATGGTAACACAGACTATAGCAGCCATAGACTTAAATATCACTAGACTGAGACCCACCTTTAACATCCACTGTTAGCATCAGTGACAACTTGGAGGAGCAAAAATTGCGACCATACCAGGTGTTTAGATTCTTGATCAACTGTTTCCATTTTGCGCTTTGTGAGAAGCTTAGCTTGCAACTCAGTGTGCTATCATTCATCATATTATTTCTTTACAATGTTGTTTATTTGCCCAACCTATTTTTGTGGCATTAACATACATTTTCTAATTTAGATCACTTGTATCAAACTGTTTTTGTCCTAAAATTAAATGAACATACAATTGGATAAAAACTACAACGATTAAAGAAAACTAATATTTTTTTATTGTGTTTTCGCTGACCAGATTGGCTTCATCAAACCCCACCCCATCCTGAGTCAGATGCAGCAGGGAGCTATCGAGACCAAGCTGACATTTGACTCCTACGTGATGCCGATGCTGTGCCCCCCAGTGCCCTGGACCACAGTCAAGTTTGGAGCCTACCTGCTCACGCCGGCCAAACTGATGCGCATGATGGACGGGGCCACTCATCACAAAATGCTGCTGGAGAAATGTCAGAATCTTCACCCAGTCTTTGACTCACTTAACCAGTTAGGAAACTGTGCCTGGAAGATTAATAAACCCATTTTAGACATCATTATTTCAATCTTCAATGATCGTGGTTCTGAAAAGCTGGATATCCCCCCGCCTATGTCCGAAGCTCCAACAATTCACTTGGACCCACACAATCCCACTTGGACATCCAGCGACAAGACCAACATGAAAAGACAGATTATCAGCGCCAAAAAGAAATACAACGAAATGCTCAGCTTGCGCATGGATGGTCTTTACAAACTCTCCATTGCGCAGCACATGCGTGATGAGATCTTCTGGTTCCCTCACAACATGGACTTCAGAGGACGCACATATCCGTGTCCCCCATACTTCAATCACCTGGGAAATGATGTGACACGGGCGATACTTCTGTTTGCAGAGGGGAAGCCTCTTGGTTCCAAGGGTCTGGACTGGCTAAAAATCCACTTAGTCAACCTGACCGGGTTAAAGAAAAAGAGCTCACTGCAGGGGCGTCTAGATTACGCAAACACTATTATGGAAGATATCCTGGATTCTGCAGACAACCCTCTAAATGTTAGTCTACTCTTTTTTTATCAAATATATATTAATGTTTTGTTTTGCTTTGATTTTACTATATTTAGTTTAAAAGTAACTGTGTCTTTCTTTTTAATTTGCTTGTTTTATTAGACTGAAATCTAATCTTTTTTTACGCTAAGTGGTCATTTTGTGATCGAGTTTATAAGGAGTATAATCATCAAAAAGTTAAAAATAAGAAGTGACCTTGCTTTCATTGAAGTGTCTGTGTAGTATTAATGTTTCTGTAATATTAATGTTACTTTTAATAAGTGTTGTTGAATTTTTCAGGGTAAAAAGTGGTGGATGGATGCAGATGAGCCATGGCAAGCTCTGGCCTGCAGCATGGAGATAGCCAATGCAGTGAGATCACCTGACCCATCACAGTTTATCTCTCATTTCCCTATTCACCAGGTACTGAAACATATATAAAACAAATATCTTAAATAAACTCCCACAGCATTTTACAATGTACTAATGAACTGATTATCTCCACACATGCGTTAACTCATAACTTAGACAATAACTGCAAGGAATGTATTATTGGATTTTGTTCTCAAGACATTACTTTTMTCTAACTTTACTATAGAAAGTTTGTACATTTCATAAACAAAATGTGTTTTTTGGTAAGGTAAAATACAATTAACATTTTAAGCCATTTGAGTCCACTTTATGGCTATGTTCACACTGCAGGCAAATGCAACCCAAATCTGATGTTTTTTTGTCCCTATATGACCCATATCAGATTTTTTTATGACAGTCTGAACGTGACAAATCGGACCAAGGCCTTTTCAGTTTGTGGTACTGAATCAGATACATAGCTGATGTTTTTCAAAGTCACTGCAGTCTGAATGCATTTCATCCGGCTTTGCATCTGTGAGGTTGGGGTATACAGATCGATCCAAGAAATAATGATACTAATCTTGAGTCAAGCTTTTTAAATCTTGTAAATCCATTCGTCTTCAGCTACAGAACAGAATCCAGTTGCTTCGTCTTGTTTTTATTTTATTTACCATGTCCTGGATGACTGAGAGTCCAGACAAATATATGATAGCAATGTCAGTCTCAGACCATATCAAAAGATGTGGGATCGATACTTTCAACTTGTCGCTTTGTTCCTTAAATAAAATGCTGTACCGGAGTAAACAGTGAGCTAAACAAGTAAAATGGTAAAATAGCTTGAACTTATATAGAGCCTTATCAGCGTTTTACACTTAAGACATTCACRCATTCATACACACATTCATACAAGCAGAGCAGATAATTGTTTAATTGACTCTGATTGCACAACAACTTCAGAATCAACATGCAGCATCCATATTTGCCTACTTCCTGTAAACAGAATGCTGAATGTGACATCACGTCTTCTTCTGCACATATGGGTCGCATCAGTGCTGTGGAGAGTTCACACTGGAGTCTGATGGAGGTCGCGTTTAAAATATAATGTGAAGTCCACTCAAAAAAAGTAAAATTTTGCAAAAAATCAGAATTGAGACCTGTAGTTTGAACGTATCCTATATCACCTGTCATAAACTATAATCCACTTCTTGCAACCATCCCAATGAGTCGCATCATCACTGGTTGTCATTTGAACCCCTGCTTATAAAAGCTCAAACTGTGATTTTATACCAAAGCTGCTAAAAAATCATTTAGACTGTTGTAACTAATTTCCAGTTTGAAAACTTTGCTTTATCTTTGTTCTTTCCTACCCCTCAGCACACCTTTTATTCCCCCCCCCTCCCCCCCTTACTTTTAATTCTCTGCTGCTTTTCTTCAGGATGGTTCCTGTAATGGTCTCCAGCACTATGCTGCTCTGGGCAGAGATGTGATTGGAGCCAAGTCAGTCAACCTGATGCCTTCTGATGTGCCTCAGGACGTATACAGTGGAGTAGCACAGCAGGTGAGAAGCACCGACCTTCCTTTTTTTCTAATTTTCTATTTTTTTGTTCCCTTCTTTGAAATACATAAAGATTTCTTTTGCTAGGCACGTTGCAGTGGCTCTAKTGTTAATATTCAGATGACTCACTGAGTCCCATTGTGAGTGGCAAGCTGAGCATAGAGAATATTTTTCAAGTTTCTAAGTTTAGGTCATGCTTCTAAAAGTGCTTCGTTTCCTGTGCTCTGCATCAAAGTGGAGAAGGAAGAGACCGATGTTTCTTATTTCTAAAGGCTCATACTTTCTGTCGGTACAATGCCTGAAAAGAGCCACTCTGCTGAAACATTTAAATGTGGCCCCAATTGTGACACACTGACCATTAGTGAACAGGACCAAATACCTTCTCTTCTGAGAACAGTGACTTTGCAGATGTGTTTGCTCTCCCAATACTTCTAGTTGGTAAATAGATTATTATTATTATTATTAGATTATGTTGCTTTAAAATTATATAGGATTTTATCAAAATTTGTTGTTTAATGCATGCTCCTCTAAATCAAGGGTCGTCAACTTTTTTAGTCTGGGACCCCCAAACTGATGGAGCTAGGGCCATATATATAT